AACACTGATCAGACTCTCAAGCGTACTCTTCTGGCATTTGATAAAGTATCAAGTTATTTAAGAGCATTTGGACAAATTTTTAAAAATTGAAGAAAACAATTGAGCAACTACCCTATCACACATAACATAAAGCTATACTAATCGCATGGATGACTCCCAGGTACCCCACACTGAGACGGAACTTGGGAGGAGGTGGGATGGCAGCAGGTTTGGTAGAAGGAAGAAGGAAGTGCTTTGTTGAGATACATCAAGTGTGAGATGCTTATTAGACCTTAAACTGGAGATGGGGACACAGCGAGATGTATGAATCTAGAGCTTATGGAAGAGGTCTGGTCGCTTCCATAAGAGAGATACATTTAAAACCGTGGGATGCCACCGAACTTTTGCTGAGCTTTTATTGCTTTCTTCCTGTTAAATTAAATAGTTTGGCTTTGCAAGTAAGCTTCAGAAGTCACCCATCCTATCCACATTTCTGTTTTCATGTTTAGGTAAATTTAGTAGAGGACTAAATAAACTCTAGTATTCCTCTTATTATTCCTATACTATTATTACTTTCCTCATTACTTTTGAACACTTGCCTTTCGTGTCATTTCCCTTCTTAAAAATCATTTAACTTTGATCTCCTATACGATGCTAAGCTTCTCTCTGGCATTCATAATATATTCTCCATTGTCCAAATGGCCCATTCCCCCTGAACACACCACACATATGACCCTGGCCTCTGACTTTATGTAGACTGCGACCCAAACTGGTTTCACAACTCCCTTGACCTGTACCTCTATCTGTAAGAGCTTGAGAGCTCTATGAAGTCTCCAACTGTTCCAGCCCATCATTTCCCCTCCTCATCTCCACACAAATTTATATGGCAGTCTTCATCATATGGTCTCTTGCATTTTAAAAACCTCAAACCTACTTCTCAAATTGTACAAGCCCACTAAGAGGTCATATTGGAATAAGTTTCCAATCATGAATGCCAAAATCATGCAGTATTTCTAATACAAATACTTTGCTTTCTACCCCCAAAATACACAATCCAAAACTAAAATGCAAAGGAATAAATCAATTGCATCCAAATCTAAATTAACAGGACTCCATTATCAACCTACAGTACCAAGCCAGTAATAATGTGAAAGGCAGAATTTAGTCAGAGGCATAGAGAGTGAGCCTAGGCAGAAAGGGCAGTGAGTGTCCACCAGGACTAATGAGGTGATCTGCCCCCAGGCCACACAATTCCTATCCAAGGCAGCGCCTTTTTCACTACCAGTCCACCAACTGCAGGATTTAGGTATGCTGTCCCAGGAAGAGGCAACCAGGCCTGGGGGAAAACCTGTACCTTATCCTTCCACTTAAATGGAATAACTATCCCTGTATTTCTCCTCAGTCTGCATGGAGCAAAAAATTGGTTTTAGCATAATCCATCAAATACATGACTCCAAGCAACCAGGACAGAGAACTCCATGTGTAAACATACAAACACATGCAAACACACACGCACATGTGAGTGCACACATACTCCAGACATTATGGCCAAGCATGCCATACAAAACTGTATGTTTATCGTGAAACAATCTGAGTTAGGAAACTAGGATTGTTGCCACCACCATTTATTTATCTAGTTCATAACTAAGAACACTATAGCAGTGCTGGAGATGCAAAGACGTCCCTGCCCTTAAGGGGCTTACAATCTTACTGGAGAATATAACAGGCACATAAGAAGCTGGACTACAAGGAAGCATGAGCTAACAAATGCCAGACTTTGGAAGGCAGCGTAGTTTGAGAACATGGGATTCAGAGTCACAAAACCCACATCCTAGTCCCAACCCAGTACATCAGTGAACCTCTCTGGGTTTTTTCCCAGCTACAACATTAAATAGTTAAGACTGAGAGGCTGTCTGCATGTTTCCATGGTGATTCAGATCAAAAGCTGAGATGATATTTATGGAGTAGGTGGCACCTGAGCGGGACACTGAAGAAAGGCAAAGGAGGTGTTTCAGACAAGGAAAGCAGTACTGAGGTAGCTGTAAGCTTGGAGTTTGGAGGGGAGATGACAGACAAGTGTCACAAGGAGTAATGGCAGAGAGGTGGGTGGGTGGCAGGAAGTACCACACTTCCCACACAGGGGTGAGCAGCGTTCCTCACATTTACATCCGATCATTTACAGTACATAATTCCAGAGAGTAGAAAATACCAGAGGACAATGGCGGCATTTTATCAAACATTTCACTTGATTTCCATAAAGTATAAAATAATTTAACATTATACCTCTACATTTCAAAATTCACATCAATAAACCATCCTGTCAAAATGTAAACCAATTCAAAGTTTACATTCTTAGTAAACATAACTAAATCTCTTAATTCAAAAGGACATTTGATACAAATTATATTACTCCAATAATTTCAACATTCATTTTCCACCATGTTCCAAGCACTGTGAAAATAAAAATGACTATGACAAGGTCCCTGCCCTTGAAGAGTCCGCAACCTGGCAGATGAGCAAAGATCAACTCTGCCTACCCAGAATTACTGTGATGCACAGCCTGATCAAGGTACGAGCCATGGAGCACAAAGATGGATTCATCCTTTCTGGAGTTTCCACAAGGGCTCAGGAGAGACATCTTGGGCACAAGAAGAAATGAGTTTGGCAGAGAGAAAGTGACTACGGGAGGAGAGGGCTCCCAGGCAGCAGACACACGGGCACAGAAAGGAAGTCCAGGGCCAATGACAGGGACAGTGTGGCTGAAGCAGGGTGTAAAAGGCAACAGCTAGTGATATGAAGGCCCAGACTTAGTCCTGTGAAAATAAGGAGCCATTGCTTGTCATGTTTTAATCATCAGCTAACACTGATTCATAAGGTCAGGAACAGATAGGACAGAAAGTAAGCAGGAAGGTTCTGTCTGTATTGTAGACAGTGACTGCTCTCCCCAGCAACTAAACTGCTCAGAAGCCACACTCCCCATGACCTCCTTCCTTCATCCTTTCTTTCTCTTTTTTCTCTTTATGATCTGCTTCCCCTCTGTCCTTGAGTCTTCAAAATGGAGCCAGCATTGGGAAGGCAAAGGAGAGGAGCAAAGGGGCAGGACTAGAAACAAACACATACGACTAACCGAGTTACCATAAAGAAATAGTAACCGTATTGGACAAAGGTCTGCAGATGAAGGAAACTAATTCTTTTTCAGGAGTTTTCCAAAAGTGCCCAATTCACACCAAAATGTTGGAAAATCTCATACAATGTGGGAAAGGTATACAGAACCCTTGCAGAAGACTCCATTTCCTAAACTATTTTCCATTAATATCAATGTTACAAATGCAATACCATAGGATTTCAGAGCCTATCTTCACACAAATAAGATCTGACCAAAATTGCATTGCTTAGCTTAAAAAATAATACACAATGTGTAATTTCAAGTCTTAGGTTCTCAGCTACTACCAAAATATGTCAATATATGAATAAACTGCCTCATGAAAAACATGCAGTAAAAGGTAGATGCAAATAAGCCATCCCTTTGGGGTAGACACTATATTAAAATTTCTTGTCATATTATAAAACCATTCTACAAAAGTAACACCTTGAAATTTCATTTTGTAATGAAGAAAATAAATCTGTATCATTTTATTTAACATTCATTCTTTAAGTTACAGTTAACACAACCTGCTTCTAATCCAAGAAATCCTAGTATAATCTGAAACACATGCATATACATTTAGTAAGCTAAATGTATTTCTAAATAATGTACTTCTACATTTCTAAATAAATTACATGCATGATATACAATAAAGAATACTAATATGAGAATTCAGGACATTTATTTTTCTGCATTGAAATTTAACTACTGTACAACACACACATATACAAAACAAACCCACAAAGCAACAGTGTGTAATAGGTAGTGACAGACACACAAAATAAGCATATTTAAAATGCCTAACAGCCTTTTTTTTTTTTTAGGCAACAAAATACGTCCAGTCCTTGACATCTTCTCATACTCACCTAGCACCACAGATGCAAGGACCTAACAGTAAACATGTACAATCTCATGCTTAACACCTAAAGCATGCACTGAATTGAATTTTTATGTTGTTATCTATTCTACTAAGTATGCAATACATACTTTTACTTACTAATATTTTATACATTAAATTACCCTGCAGCATTTTGAAATTTTAACATTGATGTAAAACAACTTTTGAAAGATTTATGAAACAAGTTTCAAGGTTTAACTTCAGGCTGGTTTGGTTAAGTGGAAAAATGGCAGCAGCCTCAAGGTTCATACTGAATGAAAATGGTGTTGTGTGCATGTCAACCCATGTAAAAAATACCTATATACAAGATGGCACAAAAATTTGTGCAGTTGGAATCACCAGTGCAAATGCATGCATTTGAGGTACTTATTTTTTCCATGGTCAGGTATAATTATGCATAGTCATTTTCCTTAAGTGCTAAAGATTTCAGACATGATCAAGTGAAAAGCTGTAAGTGTAAATATGAGCTATTTATATAATTTCAAAGTGCTACACTTTTAATGAACATTTGCTTAACATTATAGATTTATATATTTAGTTTAAAATATTTATATTACCAACCAATAAATTTTCTCACTATAAAGAGACTGACTGGCAATTATACCTGGCCAAGTAATTTAAAGAGCATACTTGCAAGAACTGTAGTGAAAGAGTTAAATACTTCATTATTGCTTCATTGAACTGAGAAGCCCAAAAGGCATAGATCAACAATGCTCAATGATGAAAAATGAATACCCAGAACAGCGGTGCATGCCCCCAAAATGACCTCTGTGCAATAAAAACTAAGCATTCTCCACGTTATCAATGCCGTTGGCATCCACGTGGATATCAGGATCCCCACACAAAGATGAGGGGACAAAGCGGCTAACAGTGGGACACAAACAGCTCTTAAGCTCTGGCAATTCTTGCTTCAGGCGTTCCAATTGCTCCACTTGGAATATATTTGGTTGTTCAGGCATCCAATCATATATCCTATGATGAAACAAATACAAAATACATAAAATACTGTAATTTTATGGTTTACCTAAGACCTGCCTGACTCAACCTTTTCATAAGATTTACAGAATGCCTGGAACATCCACATCAGAGTTTTTGTTTTGTCTTAAAGATGAAAGTATCCATTCTATTTTTTAAAATTTCTCTTCTTCCCAGTCTTTCCAATAATCCAGAATAGCAGCATTGCCCTTTTGTATCCCGGATGCAATGGAGCTCAACATAAAGCAACTGAATCAGAAAATGAAACGTCCAGTTTACTTGTAATCTAGCTTAAAGTATTTGCCCTCCAACTCACTTTTTTTGTTTTTAAACAAATGGAAATCTATAAAAAACTGACTGTTCTGACTTCAAAGTCACTAAAGATCAAGATAAGAAGACTGCTCACCAGCGTGGGAACTGCTCTAAAGCTGCTCCGTAACGCCAGATGCATCCAGAGTGGAGAACTCCGAAAGAGCCTCCGGTGATCTGACACTGGCACTGCCCATCAGCAGAGAAAGGATGGCCTCCTGTGCCTGAATGTGACAGCCAGGTCACTATGTAAGCCAGGCAACTATGTAGTATCAGAGAATCTTTATGACATTACAGTAGGAAATAATTATTTAAACATGATAAAAAATATGGTGACTCTATTAAATATCTTGACTATATTAAAACAAAGAGTTTCTACTAATTAAAGACATATCTAAGAGAATGAAAAATGACCTCTGCATCAAGGTATCGAGACAGAACAAAAGCATCTAGCTTCGCTCTCTCCCTACATTCCACTGAAAATAAAACAAAGAGATTATTTTTAATAAAATACGTAAGTATGAGAAAAAGCCAAGAGACAAAGCTACAACATTTTGAAAGTTGGAAAACAGATGGATAAATAAGAACTAAAAGTTTGTCAGTGAGATAACTGAAAAGGCTGGCTCACAGGCCAGTGGTAGGAAACACGAAGAGCGGAGTTAAAAGCAGGAGCAGATTGATCTAAGATGGCGACTGTCAAACCAGAAACCACCCCTACTCCTAATCCCCCCATGGAAGAGGAGAAAACAGAATCTAATCAGGAGGTTGCTAACCCAGAACACTACATTAAACGTCCTCTACAGAAAAGATGGGCACTCTGGTTTTTTTAAAAATGATAAAAGCAAAACTTGGCAAGCAAACCTGCCGCTGATCTCTAAGTTTGATCTTGTTGAAGACTTTCGGGCTCTATACAACCATATCTAGTTGTCTAGTAATTTAATGCCTGTCTGTGACTACTCACTTTTTAAGGATGGTATTGAGCCTATGTGGGAAGATAAGAAAAACAAACGGGGAGGATGATGGCTAATTTACATTGAACAAACAGCAGAGACAAAGGGACCTCGATCACTTTTGGCTAGAGACTCTACTGGGCCTTATTGGAGAATCTTTTAATGACTAGAGTGATGATGTATGTAAAGCTGTGGTTAATGTTAGAGCCAAAGGTGATAAGATAGCAGTATGGACTACTGAATGTGAAAACAGAGAAGCTGTTACACATTTGGGAGGGTATATACAAGGAAAGGTTAGGACTTCCTCCAAACATAGTGACTGGTTATCAGTCCCACGCAGACACAGCTACTAAAACAGTTCCACCACTAAAAATAGGTTTGTTGTTTAAGAAGACACCTTCTGAGTATTCTCATAAGAGACCAAGTCAAGCAATCGAGATTTTGGAGCTGAATCAAAGCCTTTTCAAAAACTACTAGAGTGGACTGGATTTAAATGTGATTTCCATCCAAATGTTGCTAAGATGTAAGAGAAGTCTCATTCACTGAGGTGGGAGGACTAGAACTCAGGAAGTCAAGGGAGCAGTGAGCTGAGATTGTGCCACTGCACTCCAACCTGGGCAGCAGAGCGAGAGACCCTGTCTCAAAAAATAAATAAATAAATAAATCCTTAATGACTTCAGGGAAATAGTATGTTCATTAAATGAGAATAGGATGCTAAACATACGGAAAAAACTACATTCAGAGAAAAAAAGACAGTTATTGGAAATTAAACACACAACAGTAGACATGAAAAACTCAACAGAGGCCAGGGAGGGTGGCTCACTCCAGTAATCCCAGCACTTTGGGAGGACAAGGCAGGTAAATTGCCTGAGCTCAAGAGTTCAAGACTAGCCTGGGCAACATGGCGAAACCCTGTCTCTACTAAAATACGAAAAATTAGCCAGGCATGGCGGCGTGTGCCTGTAGGCCCAGCTACTCGGGAGGCTGAGGCATGAGAATTTGCTTGAACCCAGGAGACAGAGGTTGCAGTGAGCTCAGATCGCATCACTGCACCCCAGCCTGAATGATAGAGACTGTCTCAAAACAACAAAACAAAACACACAAAAAACAGAAAAGCTCAACAGAATGAGTAGAAAGACTGAGAAAATCTTTCAAATGAAGCAAAAAAAAAAAAAAAAAAAAAAAAAAGACAAACAAAAATGAAAAATCTGGTCCAAGAGTTATTTGATTCAAACAAAAAGACTTCTATAAAGGGGGGAAAAAAAAATCCAGAAAATTGAAAGGGACAAGAATCAAAAGAAATATTTTTGAAAAAATTTTCCCATGTTTAAGAACATGTATTGACAGACTAAAAGGGTTACCAAGTGTCCAGCAAAGTGGGCAAGACCAGACTCACAAGAAAACGCATCTCTATAGAATTTCAGAACACTGGTAATAAAAGGAAGACCCTCAAAGCTTCTAAACAGGAAACACAGATTACACGTGAGAACATAATCAAGATGGCTTCACACTCAACAGCAACACTGAAATGGTAAAGATGATGGAGAATGTTTCTAAAATTCTAAAGTATTTCTAACACAGAGTTCTATATACAGCCACGACATTTCTGGACACATAAGACCTCAAAAACATTTACCTCCTGTGTCCACCTTTCTTAAGATGCTGAAAGACGTGTTCTGTAAAACTCACTGAACCAAGAGAGAAAAAGATACGAGCTACAGGAAACGGGAGATCTAACACAGAGAATGGCAGGGCTCAGGATGACAGCTGTGCACAACCAACCTACTGGAGCAGCCCAGTGGACAGGCAGTTGTGTTGAGGGCTATTACTCCGAGAGAGACACTGTCACTCTAGCAGCTATGTTAACCTAAGAACAGAGTGCCCTCATGAGCCTGAACTGGCATATTACCTAAATATGGTCTAACCGTGTGCTGATTAAGTTTCCACGTTACCCGCAGGATTAAAATGCTTTGGCCTACTCCTAAGAACTGGTAACAGGCTACAATGAGTGTAGAACCAGGAAATACAGGATAGCCCACTCCTGCTATACTTCCAATGCCTGACCCACAGGCAGATGATCTGCGCTAGAGACCTAGCAGGTCACACAATCAGTTCAGAAAGTTAAGACTGGCATTTAAGTGCACACATATAAAGAAGTACATGCATGAACAGGAAGTATCTAAAGGACACTTGGAATTGTTTCAGGTGCATACTTGTAAATATACCTTATCTGTGTACTGGGTTGCCACATAAAATAGGTTGGGTGCAAAAAGGTTTAAAAGTCACTGTACTATCAATAATGTTCACAGCAACACTATAAAATAGCAATTACTTGGCAGCAACCTAAATGTTCCTAAAAAACAGTATAAGTTGTGGTAAAGACAACAATGGAATATTAATATGACCACGAAAAGCAGTAAGGTATAGCCTACATGCAACAATATAGGTTAACTTTAAAAACATAATTACAAGTTTTATAAAGCATAATTAAAGCTTGAAACTATATAAAACTACAGCTGGGATGGGAGAGTCACTTGAACCCAGGTTGTAGTTAGCCAAGATAGTGCCAAGATAGTGCCACTGTACTCCAACCTGGGTGACAGAGCAAGACTCTGTCTCAAAAAAATGAAAAGAACGGCCTCTTACTCATCATCATAAGTGCAAATTTCCCAAACAAAATACCAGAAAATGATATGTAGCAGTTTAGTGTTTGACAATTGAAAATACACACTCACACACTCTCACCACACCTCTCTCCAATCCAAAATGCCTCCAAGGCTCCAAGTCACTAATCATTCAAAACCTTCTATATGATGTCTAAATTCGATAATGGAAAAAATACCATAAGCAGATTATTTAGAAACAGAGGTAAATGCCAGAAGAGCCAGATAATAAAGATATGAGGGGACAGGGTCTCGGCCAGAGACAATGGAAGAAATAGGTACAAGAAATTTTCTTTTTTATTATAAGACTTATCAAACTATTTGAATTTTAAAACTATATACACATACTTTTTTGAATAAAATTTAAAAAAAAAAAACTTTTTGAGGGTAAAAAACAACTCAACACAACCTACCTTACCCCTCCTCAGACCCTATTAGGAATCCAGTGCCTGGCCACCTCCCTGAAACCCTCAACAGAGTCGTGCCCTGATTTACACTCTTGCCTCTACCTAGAACACAAATGTTGTCAAAGTAAACATAACCACTCCCCAAATTCCAACTCAATTCTTCTTTTTTAAAGCTCCAAGCCAGGAAGAACTTTCTGGAACACTTGTTATATCATATATCTTCCTCTTCTCCATTACATGTCAACATTTGATTTCAACCAAGTAAAGCCCTTAAGATGAAGGATCTGCCTGAAATTTGTATACTCTACAAAACCAATGGTATAACTTCATAATACACTTCCTTGCCAGAAAATATTTGTAATCATTCCTTGTAACAAAAATACACATATAACCATACACATTCAAAAATTTGCTAAAGCCAGTACTTGTTACAAATTATTAATTTAAAATTTTAATTAAATTAGCTGGAAACGTTGAAGAGCACTATGAGTCACACATGCTATTTCATGCAAAATTAACCAAATAGTTTAAAAGGCAGGTAGGTAGGATTTACTGGGACTACAATTTTAAAACCAAACTAATTGAGACAAAATACTGGAAGGAAAACAAGCTTTATTAAGAAAGTAATACAACTTTATGGGAAGAAGAGTAATATGAACCAAATCCAAGGAAAGTATTGTTTAGAGCAGGCCTAGTGAGATTTTATCACTTACTCTTTGTGTAACACTTCTCAAGCACAGGCAATCTTCATTTTACTGCACTTCGTCTTTTTTTTTTAAGTTTCTTTTAATTTTATTTTATATGAGATGGGGTCTCCTCCCAAAGTGCTGGGATTACAGGCATGAACTACTGTGCCCCACATGCGCTTTTCAGATACTGTGTTTCTTACAAATTGAAGCTCTGTGACCACCATGCACTCAGCAAATCTGTTGCTGCCATTTTCCCAACAGCATGTGCTCACTTCACGTCTGTGTCACATTTCGATGATTCCCACAATATTTCAAAGTTCCTCATTATGATTCTATCTGATATGGTGATCTGTGATTAGTAATCTTTGATGTCACTATTGTAATTGTTTTGAGGTGCCACGAATCGTACCCATAAATCAGTGTGTTCTGACTGCTCCAAAGACCAGCCTCTCCCCTATCTTTCTGCCTCTCCTCCGGCCTCCCTATGCCCAGAGACACATCCATATTGAAATCAGGCCAATTAACCTTACAATGGCGTCTAAGAGTTCAGGTGAAAGGAAGAGTCTTAAATCTCTCAATTTAAACCAAAAACTAGAAATGATTAAGATTAGTGAGGAAGGCATGTTAAAAACTAAGATAGGCTGAAAGCTGGGCCTCTTGCACCAAACTGTTAACCAAGTTATGAATGCAAAGGAAAAGTCCTTGAAGGAAATTGAAAGTGCTACTACAGTGAACACAACAATGAAAAGCAAGCAAAGCAGCCTTACTGCTGATGAGGAGAAAGCTTTAATGGCCTGGACAGAAGATCAAACCAGCCAAAACATTCCCTTAAGCCAAACCTAATTCAAAGGGCTTCAGTTCTATCAAGGCTGAGAGAGGTAAAGAAGCTGCAGAAAAAAGTTGGAACCCAACAGTTAAATAACACTGAAAATTGTACGGCCCTTCAGAATTACACTAAATCTACTCTGTCTGTGCTCCAGAAATGCAACAAAGTCTGGATGACAACACATCTGTACACAGCATGGTTTACTGAATATTTTAAGCCCATGGTTGAGACCTACAGCTCAGGAAGAAAAAAGATACTTTTCAAAATATTACTGTTCATTGACAATACACCTGGTCACCCAAGAGCTCTAACGAAGATTGTTGTTTTCACACCTGTTAACACAAAATCCATTCTGCAGCCCATGGATCAAGGAGTCACTTTGACTTTCAAGTATCATTACCCTAGAAATACATTTCAAAGACTGTAGGTGCCACAGACAGTGATTCTTCTGAAGGATCTTGGCAAGGTAAACTGAAAACTTCATCATTCCAGATACCATTAAGAACATTTCTGATTCATGGGACAAGATCAAAATATCAATATTAACAGGCATTTGGTAGAAGCTGATGCCAATCCTCATACATGACAAAGGGTTTCAAGACTTCAGTGGAGGAAGTCGCGGCAGATGTGGTGGAAATAGAAAGAGACCTAGAAATAGAAATGGACCCTAAAGATGCGACTGAATTGCTACAATCTCATAATAAAACTTTAACAAATGAGGAGTGCTTCTTACGGATGAGGAAAGAAAATGGTTTTCTGAGATAAATCCACTCCCAATAAAGATGCTCTGAACATTGTTTCAATGACAAGATATTTAGAATATTACATAAACTTAGTTAATAAAGCAGCAGCAGGGTTTGAGAAGATGGACT